AGTAAAAAGGCTGCAGAAAGAGTCAGGAACCCAGAGGAGGGGGCAAAGAAGGTGAGGTGTGGGGACGGAAAGAGGAGACGAAAGCGGACGACAGAACATTGCGAGAGAGCAGGGGGGGAGGTGAAAGGAGACAATTTTAGAGAAGAAAATTTTTCAGTCGCTACCCGGATTCGAACCCGGGACCTTTGAATGAGAGGGCGACACCTTAACCTCTAGGCCACGAGAGCCCCCGGGGACAGATCTAACAATTAAAGAGACATTTATCATCACTGAAGCAGTTGTGGATAAGGGGAAAAATCATAATCCCCCCCCCCCCCCCTTTCATTTAAGATTAGGCTTGACGAAAGAATCTGTGAAAGCCCTGGGCATTGAAAGGGGAGGTTTGGGAAAGGGGTTGGGGGGGGGGGGCGGGGTTTAGGAACAGATTATGCACCTCTTTTCCTTATCTCAGTTACGAGAAAAAAAAGGGCTGGTGTTTTTTGATGCTCTCAAATCAAGGAGATGATGACAAACCCACGCTTCGCAGACAAATAGACAGAAGATTGAGAATGGTTGGTGTATTTGTTGATAAACTTTTAAGGTAACAGGAAAGCAGAAAATTTCAAGGACATTAAACGAAACTTTGAAAGAGAACTTCCACTTTTTAAAGCTGCTAACACGAGCATCAAAACTGATTTTTTTTAAATGAGTCGTTTCGGTGAATCTATTATAAACCTTGGTGATGTCAACGAGGAGCAAGATGAAAGATTTCCCCAACACATGAAGTCATGGAGGAATGGGATCAAGGCCGATGGGACACCAACATGGTGGCAGATTACTGTTGGAGCATCCAGAGAGACTGTCCAGACACAACACTCTACAGACAATCCCGCAAAAGAAAGTTTCTGTCAAGAACATGTACAACTATATTATAATGTTGTGGGTTCGGGGGTTTGAGCCGCGGGCCTGACGTGGTGTCCTTGGGAGAGGCACTTTACTGAAATTTTCCTCACTTCACCCAGGGGGGAATGGGTACCCAGCTATAGACAATGAAGGATCTTGTCAGTATGCTAGTGTTTTAGCGCCTATATGGCAGCTTGCACTGTATGCTTCCCAGGAAGTTGGGGTTGTTTCAGAATGCTCTCAGGTCTGCTGGGGTAATAGTATAAATTGTGAAGCGCATATAGCTTGCTGTTGAGCGGGGACTTGCGCTATTCAAATGCTATCTATTATTATTACCCATTGTAATTGTGAAATTGATGTGTGGGTGGTTGGCGGATGCCTGGTTTCGTTTGCCTTTTTTCACCATGAAACATCGATCGTCCTTATCCCTCCTCATTCTATACATTGCATAGTCTCCTGTAGGACTGGCATGATCTGAATGACCCGGTGTCTCACATTGTTTTCTTTTTGCTCCGAACAAGGTTAACAATTTCTCATCATTAGACCTTTCTCAATCGCACACCACAAAACAACGATTCTGCCATTGAGAAAAGCAAGCAAGCAAACAAACAAACAAACAAACGAACAAACAAACAACAAAAAAACAACCTCCACTCCCCCCCCATCCCAAACAAACCAAACAACAAAATATGGCGAACAAGAGGAGAGTCGGTATCACGTTTGGTTTCAACAACCTCAGATTACTCAAAATAAGTCTCAAACTCACGGCCGACAAAATTTTGAAAAAAAAGAAGAAAAAAAGAAGTAAAATCTTGTTGCGACGTCGGTCACTGAAATGGCAGTAATAATCACACAGGCACTACTTGTAGTTATAAGCACATGATACACCTATACATAACATCCCTGGAAATTGGTATGATAATAATTTGTGTCCTGTAATCTTCGAGTACCTGTTTGAGACAAACACGATTGTATAATGATAAAGCAGGTATAAAAAACACTCTCCCC